CATTGAACACCCATTTAATTTCACCATAATGCTATATTAATTCTAAAATCTAAATTTCCCAAAATAAATAATCACTTTAATCAATTGAAATAAGATTCCAAAGCAATATATACATCGAGCATATAATGGTAGAGAATCACACCAATATGATAATAGAAATTGAAATTCAATCAATACTTCAATTCTTCAATGGAAAGAACATGATTAGATCCATGAAAAACTTAATACCAATTAAATAAATCTTAAAATACATTCATAAAACAGGAAAAAAAAACCCTAGAATTGTTTATCAATGAAAAGCCAATTTACATTCATGAAATAACATTAAAATCATCGATACCAATTGAGTTCATTCGTGGCTTCACCAAGAGTTCTCTTGCCTTCCATGGAGTTTTCTTGTGTCAAAAGATAAGAAGAATGGTGTCTAGATGAATTCCCCATGTTCTGGAATTTTTTTGGCCTAAAGATATGTATGAAAATGTGTTCCCATAAGTGGCGGCTTGAAATCCAGTAATTGATGATTCGGTCCAAAATTATTTCTAAGTGACCGCATAGTAGAAACTCATGCGATCGCATAGAACAACTTAGTTGCTGCCTCAAAATCTTTGTAGCCTTCTATGCAGTCGCATGATTTTTGAACTATGTGACCGCATAGTTCAAAAGTTTTTTCTGCCGAACAATTTTTACTATTTTGGTCATAACTTTCCCTCCTGATGTTTGATAAATGTTATTCAAATTGATTTTGCAAGGTAACTCAAAGGGTTACAACTTTTTCAGATGTCATCTTTCAATTAGATCGTTTGAGATGTCAAAAATGGGTCCCAATATGAGGTTGAAAATCCGTGCGTAACTTTTTCGATTGGAGTTGATGTGTCATCTTACTTTGATGATATTTCATCCCTTTGAATTAGTTACTCATCCACTTGACCTCTAACACTTTTGAATCTTCATCATACGGTTAGATACAAGTTTGGAGTATTTGCGCTTTAGTCCCTGAACTTTCATTTTCTTCCACTTTGGTCCTTTTTCGCTCTTTTCTCTCAAATTTCACATTTTCTACCAAAATGCAACCTAAATAAAAACATAAGTATAATGAGTACATTTTGGTATCAAATAATCACACTAATGCAATAATTAAGATGAAAATATGTTATATTTTACACTCTTATCAAGATCCATCTCATTGAATTCAACAAATGAAATTGTTGAATATTTGAAACCAAGGTAGCAAATAATACCTTATTTCCTATCAAAAGAAGTACTTATAAGAAGCTAACACATGTACATTGTGCACTGATGTCCACTTTAGATAAGAAGGTGATAGATCAGTTGACTTAGAAAAATTCAGCAAGTGCAAGCAATATTTTTGGTTTGTGGTAATTGTAAGGGAGCTCATAACAATGGAAAATGCCAAATTGCACAGAATTATCAACATTAGCAAAGCAACCCAGACATCAATACATATAACTTAGACTGACGTAATCATCCTATCTTCTCCTAGAGCAACAACCAAAATAGTCATCAGTGGCCTCCACCTATTTTACAGTAGCAAAACAAGAGGGCTTTGGAGGATATATTGGGCAAATTTATATAGAAGACTGACCAATACACGACAAAGATAGAAACAACTTTGCTCATTCGACAGCCAAAGAGTTGAAAACTCAAAAAGTTTAGTTGGCCTATGCTGATAATCTAAGATTAACTAACTAAGAGGGTGAATCGATTTTTAAATTTTTTTCAAAGATTTAATCTAAATTCAAGCAAGTAAAGATTAAATAGATTAATTTAAATAATAAACGCAAATATAAAAGCGAAAGTAAAAGGAAAGAGATGATACAAACAATATAATAGTGGAGGTTCTATCCAAAATAATGATCTACATCCTCCATTACCAAGCTAACCGACATGAGCAAAGCATTTTCATTATATTGATTGATTTATGGTGCAATCTAACCCTTTACAATGTAGAATGGTGACTTACAAAAAAGAAGCACCGATCCTATACATTATTGAACTTTATGAGACCTCAATATGATCCACACTATTGAGCTTTATAGGATCTCAATATAACCCACAAGTATAACAAAATAATTTTACAATGAACTTATCTCTTGATAAAATGATACAAATAAATTAAGTGTTGAGAGAGGGTAAAACTTCAGCGATTAGCAATAAATGATGGCGCAAATGTTAAATGAATATGATAATTAAAAATTTGATTCAATCGATAAAAGCATTTTCAACAAGAAAATGAAGAGGAAATAAATGCAATGTAAATTTAAAAATCTTCTTAAAATATATCTCTCTTTTAATAAATAATTATAATATATTAACTACCAGAGAGATGCGAAACTTTGATGAATATTATGATTTTACAATTTTTATTCAACTAATCAAAGTTTTGATATAGAAAGTAGAATAAATAAATAAATAAATGCAATGTAAATTCAAAACTTCTCTTCAAAATATGTCCCTCTTTTATAAATGATAGAAATAAGTTAAGTACAAAAAGAGAGATGAAATTTTTGACGAAGACAATGAAAAGAACTTGAATCAATTAAAGTTTTTGATATGAAGAAATAAATTAAATAAATGCAATGTAACCTCAAAGAATTCTCTCATAATATATCTTATTAAATGCTCTTGGAACTCTTGCAAAGAATGGAAAAAGTGAAGTATTTATAGAGCTTAAAAAGAAAAACACTCCGTTGAGCCGGAAAACCAATCGGATATTAGACCTTGAATCTAGATCATCAAAATAGCTGTTATGCGTTGGAAATCATAACGGTAAAAAATCCGACCATTGTATCAACCAAACATCCACATGGACCAATCAGACGTCTGGCAAAACTCTCTAGGATTTTGATCAATTAATTCGAATTTTCGCCACCTCCCCCCGAACATGGTTCAAACGTCCGCCCGGTTTGGCCAGTTTTCTCCATTCTTGACCTCATTTGATCCAATTTGAATATTTGAAGAATGTAGACTTTTGGAAAGAGCCTTTAACTAGTTTTCAAGGCAAACAATGTTTTAAAATATGATCTAAGTTCAAACATAATTTTGAAAATCAATTTTACTTTTGATCAAAACACTTATACAAGTGATAATCAAAATAGATTTTAGTGAACAAAACAATTTTTGAGCTTTTATCATTCATAAAATCAGAGTACTAGTACCTTTACATTTGAACTAAAAATATAATTTTTGATCTTATTTCGAAGTTTGGCTCTTAGGTTCTCATCTTAATCTTTCTTTGACTTTGGCTTTTTTAGCTCCTTATCTTGATCTTTCTTTGACGTTTGTCGTTTATGATCTTTTCTTGAAGGAATTGTCTTGAATGTGTGACTTTGATCTTGACCTTCTTCATGAGTCCGATTTGTGATAATCTTTATTTTGATCCTTTGACAACGATCGATCAGTTTATTATTGGATGCTTTGAAGATTATAATTACTTTTAATTCAATTGTTAGTGAACAAGATTAACTTGTTTGTTATAATAAAACTTTTTTAAGGTTATAATCAACCATAGGTCATAATTTTTCCCTTTTTAATTATGACAAACAAGATAATTTGCAAAGTAATATCAATAAGGAATGAGGAAAAATGATATCATACATAAAGAATATATCCCCTCTTTTTTACAACCAATTGTCATCCAATTAAAACATATCAAATAATAGATGATTTCAAAGTGTATCATTTAATCATTCAAAGCATATCATCCTACTCATCTTTCCCCTTTTAAATGCTTTTCAAATCTATCATACTCAGTTTTTCCCTTTTGGCATAAGCAAAAAGGTAGCACATATGAGAGCAAAAGTGTGGCATATAAGATCAAAACTGGAAATAGTAATAGTCTCCCTCAATTAAATACATAGAGCCACATGTATATGAGTCTAAACAAGAGGAAAATCATGACATTTAAATCAAAATACTTATCAAAGCATGAGTGATGAATGGCCATTTGATTTATCGTATTCACAAATTCTAGTACAAGATCTCCCTTTTGGGTGTCTTTAGGATACCAAAGATATGATGTCTAGTACCACTTATATATCTAAAATTCGTTTTATAGCACTAAGGTGTGATGCTTTAGGATTGGATTGAAATATAGCACATAAGCACACATTAAACATAATATCGAATCTACTCGATGTTAAATATAGAAAAGATCCGAGCATATCTCAATGTTTTGTTATTTCTACAAATTTAACTTGACCATCTTTGTTTAACTTGATTGATGAGCTCATTGGTGTGTTCAATATCTTCAATTCTTCCATTTCAAATTTCTTGAGCATGTGTTCAAGATATACTTATTTTTACTCAATTCCTTAGATAGAGTTGGATCATTTTGTACTTCTGGTTCTAGTTCACCTTCTTGTACATTTGCTTCTTCCTCATATCGGTATCTGGGATCTTCCTTAATTTGATCTTATACATTCATTTACTCAAAAAGAATCCCCAATCCTACATCATTAACAATATCTTTCTATTGATCAAGAGGATTAGCTTCATCAAAAATTACATTCATGGATTCTTCAACAACTTAAGTTTTTTTGCTGAAGACTCGATAAGGTTGCTCATAGATGAATAATCAAGAAAGATTCCAATATTAGATTTTGAAATAAAATTTTCCATGTTTTCTTTTATGTTTTAGATAAAGCATTTGCTACCAAACACTTTAAAGTAACCGATATTGGGAACTCTATTTTTCAATATGGAGTTTTCGTTTCTTTCCACTCAACAAAATTATATTTACAGTATAACAAGCGGTGTTAATGACATATTCCCAAAAATATTGTGGAAACCATTTTCATAGTTCGAGCTATTTCTTGTAGTGTACGATTCTTCCTTTCTACTACATCATTAACGTGAATTTGCTAGGTCTGTCATCCCTCCTTGGTCGCGAGTAGCTTAACTCCTTTTAACATGGAGAAGTCAAAAGGGACATCTCAGCTCCTATTTGAAGAGTGGTGTCTGGTGAAAAGAATAGATCTATTATGGCGATAAATGAAGAGGGAGGCATCAGCATGAGAGTTAGAGAAGCTGAGATAAAGATGAAAGTGGCTGAGCTCTTTGTACCAGGCCCATGGGGCCTATTTAAAGCCATAGATGGATTTGTGAAGATGGCCAGGGGCGGACCTAGGGGGGGGGGTTTATAGGGGCAATTGACCCTCTAGATTTTGAGGGGAAAAAAATTTATTGCTTAGCTTTTTTTTTTTCCTTAGTTTTTTTTATTAGAAGATACCCTATAAATTTTATTTTTGCCTCCTATCCCACATCGTCTGGGTCCGCCCCTGAAGACGGCATAAAAATCATCAAATGCAATATTGTCAAATTTTCCACCATGATCACTCCAAATAGTAATAATAATTTGCCCCTTTATATTTTGAACCTTTTTACAAAGGTGCGTAAATACATAAAAGGCTTCATCTTTTATGTTAAAAAATAGGATCCCAAAAAATAAAGTGAAGTTAAGCTTGAGGTTCGAGATAGTTCAAAAAGATCCATGTTGTAAAGGTTTTGTGTTTGAAGAGTGTTGCTTAAGTTTGAAAGAACTCGTCACTTGATTTTCAAATTGACATGCACCACAAATTGTCTTTCTTAAATTTCAAATTTGGCAAACCTTTAGCAAAGCAATTTTTTGAAAATATTTGAAAATAGGTCCATGCACAAGCCAAAAACTTAATGGAAATTAACTCATCCTCTGATCCCAAACTTTTTAGTTTTCGGTTTTTATATTGCATATAGTCATAGATTTGCACCTCACACACAGATTTCATTCTTTGTGCAGAAAAAATTAAGGATTGATCATGAACAATGCGATTAGCCATGGTCCATGAAAGGTCCCTATTTGTCGCGGCTATGCAAACCAAGGCCAGTCGCAATTTAGCCCCCGAAGTATTTTTTTTTTCCTTATTTTTAGTTATTAAAAAAACATAGCACGAAAAAACAACTCAAAAAGTTTAATTCAAGTTTAAAAAATAATTTTTTTTGCGACTGATTTGCTGAAAAAGTTTCGACAATGTACAATTAAAGGCCTATTTGTGCCCCTTTAATTTCAAAAAGTGTATTACGGAATAGTGATTGATGTTGAAATGTGTGGTTGAAAAAGAAGAATTTTTTTTTAATTTATGTGTACTATTATTTTAATAAAGAATATATAATTGAAAATGAGTACTATAGAAAAAAATAATGTGGTAAAAAGTGGGAAAATGGTTGACAAATAAAGGCTAATTTAGTAATTATTCCATCCTTGTGTTCTTGCTTTTAGACTACATGGATGTTGCTATCAAATATTTGCAATTCGTCTTTTTCTTGCCCTATTTGATCTCAAAAATATGTCGCTAACCATATTACAAAAGGTACGAAATGAGGATTACTGAAAGAAACTAATACGGCCAATCAAACTAAAAATCATCTCTAGCATATTACAACAAAAGTTGCACCAAATGAATAGTGTTTGATCATTTTCTTCATTTTTTTTTTTTAACAATTTATATAGCTGAAAAATTATTCATTTTAATTTACTACTACATAAATTAATATATACATAATTATATTTCGTTTACGGAAATATTAAATTATTTAATAAATTTTAAAAATGTAGTACAATTAATAAAAATATTACAACTAAGAAAATGTTAAATATGTTATTAAAAGCAATGTATTCCATTTCGAATCCCAAAATTATGATATGATAAAATCGACCTAGTGTTGTAATTTAATTATTGGAATTCATATATTCATCCCACAAATATTCAATTAATACATTTCGAGTGCTTTCATTTTAATTCATTTCTCCATTATTATTGATTACACAATTAAAGTGAGATAATAATAATAATAGTAGCAGTAGCAGTAGCAGTAGCAGTAGCAGTAGTAGTAGTAGTAGTCGTAGTAGTGGTGGTGGTGTTCGTGGTGGTGGGAGTGATAGTAGTGGTGGTGGTGGTGGTGGTAGTAGTCGTCGTAGTGGTGGTGGTGGTGGTGTTCGCGGTGGTGGTCGTGGTGGTGGGAGTGATAGTAGTGGTGGTGGTAGTCGTGGTAGTAGTAGTCGTGGTAGTGGTGGTCATAGTAGGTGGTGGTGGTAGTAGTGGTAGTCGTGGTGGTGGGGGTGGTGGTAGTAATCGTGGTGGTGGTGGTGGTGGTGGTAGCGGCGACGACATCAGTAGCAGTCGTTGTGGTAGTCGTAGCGGTGGCGGCAGTAGCAATCGCAGTGGTGGGAGCAGCTGTGGCAGCAGCCGTAGTAGTCATAGTGGTAGCGGTAGTAGTAGTAGAAGTAGCAGCAGTAGTAGTGGTAGTGGTGATAGCCGTAATAGTAGTGGTAGTGGTAGTAGCCGTAGTAGTGGTGGTGGTGGTGGTGGTAGTAGTAGTAGTAGCCACTAGTGGTGGTAGTGGTCGTGGGTAGTGGTGGTGGTGGTGGGAGTAGGAGCAACAGTAGCAGCAGCAGCAGTAATAGGAGGAGGAGGAGGAGGAGTAGTAATAATGTAAAATGACACAGATACCCTTAATATCATTTGATAATAAATGGAAAAAAGGACAAAAAAGACTTTTATTAAATTTGGTGCAAATGAATAGTGTGCACCACTTGCAATTGCACCAAAATGGTGCAAAATTTGAGGTTGGGTTGGAGTGGCATTGCACCAAATATTTGGTGCAAAATGGTGAAAAATAGTGACTAGGGATTGGGTTAGAGTTGCTCTAACAGTCACAATTGAACATGTAGTCCGATAAATACATAATAACACGAAACACAGCAAACAAATTTTAGATCTCCATATCTTTAGTTATTTATCTAGGCTTTATCAGCTTTAGAAGCTGTAGAAGCAGCTTTGCTCCACAAAGCCATAATCTGGTTTTGATTTCGTAGGAGGAGAAAACACAAAGTTTTGGACTATAAACAATATGGCGTGTTTGGCTCAGTTGGATATCCAATTGTGCATTTAATTCATCATTTAACGATACAACTTGGAATTTCGTCTACCACCTAGGATGATCCAAAGATGAGAAAAACTTTGGTAAGACGTGGTACGATCGTCGAATTGGGAGCCACCACCTCATCTTTAGGATTTAAGGTGAAAAAAGAAAAAATCAAATCTCATGGTGACTTACCTCATTAGGTGAGGATGGGCCACCCAATGAAGTCATGCCTTCCCATTCAATGGTCGCACAGTGTATGATGTTGCCACCATCCCATCAAAGTTTTTCCCAACGATAGAATTTGTTTAGTGAGTGACGGGAAGCATCGGAGCAAAGTTCAGTGGCCAATAGGACAACTCTTAAAGTTTGATAAGTAAAGCCATAACAAAGTGTAAAGTTACGGTCATTGAAACATGTAACTCAGGGCGGTGTAGTAAGAAGATGTTTTCATTTTATTATTATTGTTTTGTTGTTGTTTAATGTGGAAAAATAGCAAAATTATCATTTTGTACTTATTAGATTTGGTCAAAATATATTTTCTTGGTACGATCGAATGAACAGAATCCATCCATTTGTCCTTCAGATGCAAAATAAAATATTTAGGATTGTAGGTGGCACAAATTAAATGTTTAGATAAAGTTGGGGAAAAAAGAAAGAGAAAAGTTTGAAACGTGACAACAATTCTGCCTTCTAAAAAATACGGTTAAGCTTATAACATAAAACTCAAAATATATTTTTGATATTTTGAATGTTTTCAATGAAAATTTTGACCACTCAAAATATGAAAAACAAGTGTTTAAATAAAATTTAAAATTCTAAAAATATATAAATATAAATTCTAAAAAAAAAAATTTTAAAAAAAAATCTAAACTTCTAAAAACTCACATTCTAAAAAGTAAAAAAAATTAAAATTCTAAAAAAGTCAAACAGTTCAAACTCTTAATGATTATTTACATAAAAATTCTAAAGAAATATTTAAATGAATGCAAATAAAAATATTCTTACACAACGTCAATAGTTTTTTATTTATATATTTCATATTTTGAACCTAATTTTTTATTCATTTTTATTTTCCTTGTCTAGAAGAAAAAATTTATAAGATTCACCAATTTTAAAATTTAATACTACTTCATATAAAGTTGTTTTATTTTTATTGAAAAAGCAAATTTCACAGAATAAATTGTCATAAAACAATTTCCAAAATTTTAGACCAAATATGTTTTTTAATTTTCTGTGAAATTTTTTTTTTTTAAATGATCAACGAAACGTATTTTTAACAATCTTAGAACAAACCTTCAAAACATAAAACTAAAAGTGAAACTAAAAATATTAAATTGAAAATTGAAACACAAATCAAACGATCCAAAGATTTTCCAAGGTACACGTAAATGAGAACTTCAAAATGCCCACATATTTGACAAATGTGAACAAAAATTAGACTGAATCCAAGTAATAAATTAAAAAGAGAGAAGCGAAATCTAAGAAAATAGAAAATGGATCTTTCTTGTTCTCGCACAAAAACGGGAAGAGCCAGCTAACAAAATAAACTGGGCTACAATGGAGTAACTTTTATTGGGCAAGAGAAAGAAACAAGAAATGTCCCAGACGACAAAAAAGAAAAGGGCTTTTAGGGATAAGTTTATCAACCCCCCTTTTTTCGGTTGTGCTACATGTACATAATAAATTTATATAATAGTTTTACATACACATGATGTGATGAAATATGATTGAATCAGAAGTCTTCAACCAACTAGAAGAGGAAAAAAA